TCAAATTTGACGAAGCCATTGAGCGACACTTCTATCAAATGCAATTTGACCTACAGTTTCCACAAATCCGAGTCCCTACTGACCCATACAAAAGCGTCAACTGCTTTGTGTACATAGCCCACGTGACATACCTATCAGACGAACATGCCTACTCTGGTGTCGCACCGTTTCCGTATGAATATGGCAGTGACTATTTGAAGTCGTTAAATTTCGACGTGGCCATCCTCCACGCCATGCTTTCAGGCACTGAATTATGAACAGCTTCGGAGTTTGGCACTGGCAACGCATTACTTGGTGTCAACAAGTCAAATTTTGGAGCGAAGCATAAGGGGGAAAGTTGGGGTGAGGTATACTCAATGAGGGTGACTCCAGAGATGCTTTAAAGGGATTGAGTTAGTGTTGCATTGTTGAGTGGTCGTTAAGGCAAAGAGTAGGAGAGATGAAGGTATCTACCGCGTTGGCGTAGTGGCTGTTATGTGTGTGCTACGCTCACCGATGTAATCGAATATCATGGAAGTGTTGGGGAGATTGTGTGCACGAACTGCAGCCGAAATGGACTGGCCTGGTGTAAGTCGAGAGGAAGTGTAAAAGAGCCGTGATGGAGGCAGCAACCTCTCCTGCCAATAATCCTCAAGCATCCATTCGATAGTGTAGCCAGTAAGGGGGTTGTAATGTTTAGCTGGAAGCTGCCAAGTCATGTTCACTCCATAGGGGTCGACTGCATGTAGTTGCACATGCTGAGGAAGGGTGAGTTCTGCACAAATCAAGAAGGACACAAATGTGTCTGCATTTCCAATGGAAAAGTGATGTATTTAAATAGGTTGTGCATAAAGGTAAACTAGGGAGCCGCAAATGCTGATAGTAAAGTGTGTGTGAGAAGCAATGAGCAAGGGACAAACCTGGATCTATTACGATACCATGTCGTGATGTTGATAGGTGCGAACATCTGGGGGTAGAACGGCCGCTGGATACCATGAATTGTGTTTGTTTGGAGGGCCCGTCCTCATCAAAATCTCAAAACCACCGAACGGCCCTACTAATACTCCTTTAGGCTCGTGCACCAGCACGCCTAGTCTTCTGGAACTCGCGCGAAAAGTTGCCGCAAATGTTGTTGGTCTTTGCAGACCTGTGAGGGTAGAGATGCAGTACTTCGATGATAGAACCTATAAGTAATTGGCGCTCCCGATAACCCAGCCAAGCATGTGCATTAAGCGCACGCGGTGTCGAAAGCACTCACAATGCCTTGGTGTGGGGAAACATTACACTTCAGGACACATTTCCTTCCGTCTTCCGCAAGCATGAACTTACTCGTCGCATTCATGTCCTATGCCTCGATGCCAATCCACAAAAGTGTTGCATTTGGT